ATTTTATAGGACAATCAGATTTTCATCAAATGTTAATAATTATCTTAGTTAATTCGATTTTCCTGGTGATGGATTGTTTACTCTTTCAGTGGTGAAAGGTCTCTCGTCTCTCACATAATCATACTAATTCATACCAGTAACAACTGTGGAGTAAAGTCAAGCACATAGTTTTTTGAAATAGTAGACACAGTCAGATCAGGTGTTTTTGGTTTCTGTGTTTTTAAGGAGTACATACAACCACTCATTCCTAGTCCTGACATCTAGATTCTTTCTGAACTGTGAAAGCCATGTTGCATACAAAATTACTTTTAATGTTTCTGTAAGCCAAAAGGGTCAGTTCTGGAGTCCCCTATCTGTAATTCAAGAACATTTATACTGCACACAGACACCTCATTTGCTTATGAATCATATATGGTTACTCTTCTTCATCATATATGGCCAAGTAATTGCAAAAGAGGTTGTATATGCAATAAGAGTTAGTAAAACGAGAATGCACGTATTTAAAGAAGACTTGGAAGGGAAATATGGGAGGATTTGAATGGGGAAAAAGAAAGGCAAAAATGTTGCAATTTTATTATGATCTCAAAAATTAAACTGAATGAAGAATTAAACATTTTTATTTCACGTGAACCTGCCTGGAAGAGTAAACATCTCATTACCTGACTCTTTGCACAAAACATTTGCAAATATTATCTTATACTATGGCCTTGCCTAGAAGTTCATGAGGACTCTGTAGCCACCAAAAAATTGCGTAGTCTTAGCAAAGGGCATTTATAGACGTTTAAAACATTCCTGATGTTCAGGATATTTTCCGGAATTACATCAGCTTTCAGTGCTGTTTTTCCAAAATCTTATTTTACACAGTTCAACACTGAATATAATTAAAAACATTTTTACTGAGTAATATTAAGTGCAGCACAACCAAAGACCCAATTTCAACCCCCACCTCATACTTGAAGGGGAATATGTAAAATATTCTTTATTCCAGGAACTTATTCTATATAAATTGAATTTTAAATCCAAAAATACACAACATATTCTTAAAGATTTTTTTATATTCATATTGTGTTTATATTAAGGACATAAAATAATTCTAAAAAATCAAATATTGATAAATTCTTATCATCTTTATGGCATAATTGTTATGAATTATGGGGCACAGTGTATACACGACAAAATAATTCACTATATATATGAAATTGTATTTTTATGCAACAGAACATTTTTGAATATAATTAATGTCTATTTTTCATTCTCGGTAACTATTTGACCCTTCATCACTAATACAAGACCACAAACAAAGGAACATATTTACTATTCCAGGGAGTTAATGGCAGCTTCACTTGAAAATGAAAAATTTTAATTTTTCATTCAGCTTAAGTTTTGAGATCATAATACAATTTCAAAATTTCTGACTTCTCTTTTCCCCATCCAAACCCTCCCATATATCCCTTCGTACTCTCCTTCAAATTCATGCACTCTGGTTTTATTAACTATTATCGCATGCATATTTGCTTGTATACATATATGCATTCCTAAATAAAACCTGTTCAGTCCATTTAATATCCCAGAGTCTTCCTGACATGATTGCACAAACATGAGCTATACACAGATGACACCAATGGACATACCAAAAAGGACATGGATGAAGAAAATCCCACAAGGCCTCAATCCTAAAAAAGAACTATAGGCAACTAAGGAAAGTTTGGAGCAGGGGAGGAGGTCCTCCCTTGGGAAGAGCACACGGATTGTTTGTGCAGGCCAAATGGTGAGCTCCAAAAATGTGCACACAAGTAACATTATGTGATAGAGTTTTAAAGTTCACCTACAAAATGCTAATACTCAATAGAATCATTCTTGTTTTATAACAACTAGACATTGAAGAAATGTGTGTCTGTCTTTCTATCTATCTATCTATCTATCCATCTTTCTTTCTCTCTTTCTTTCTTTCTGTATATATGTATATATGTATGTATTTAGAGTTGTTGACTATCTTCTCTTTGTGATTTGTTAAGTTCAATGTTGCAGTTTCCATAGACAGGAAGGTCTAAGTAAGTGTAAGTGTATGTGCCTCACTGAGGAAGAAGAGAGGGAGCAGAGAGTGACTCCCTGTCCTGTTTGTTAGGGAAATCACTGTGGCACTGTGCAGAGTCATCAACCTGCTTAGGGTCTGAATGGAGATTGAATACATGCTTAGGTGGCAACTTAGCAACAGGACCTCAGATAACTGCACAGGAGAAACGTCTGTGTGGATGTTTATGACAAAAGAAGCTCCCAAGCATGCCCATCAGGAAGAGCTCTAGGCAGACCCTGCTGAGACCTCCCACTGACAGCCAACCTGGGTGCAAACCGAAAGCCTCCCACTAAGACCTCATAACACACAGAAAGACAGAGAGGAGGAAGAAATAAGAAGAGAAGACAGGAGTGGAAATACTGAGTGAACTGAAGCACAGAAGACTAAATTAGACAGGAATTAATTACATCAGTCACCTTAAAATGAAAAACTCTTGCTTGTTTTCCACTGCAAAAATGAACATGGAGATTTGTGAAGAAGCCCAGTAATAAAGAAACACTTTCACATCTGTACTTTTAAATGGTGTCATTAAGTTTTAAGTTGCATATATTTTATCTACATGTTAAAAAGCAAGTCTATTTATTCAAATGTGAAGGTCAGTAATCTCGGTGAGATTCTGGATGACTCCTAGGTTTTCAATTCGTATGCGTGCCCTAAATATGATCAAACAAATGTGTGTCGGCTTTGCAACAAGAAGGGAAGTTTAGTGTCAGGACAGATGTATTTGTTCCTTTGCTCACTCTGTGCTCACTGGAGCTTGTTAATCTAAATCCATTCCACCTTCAAGTGTTAATGAGTTAATAAGTCATTTCGAGGTGAACTACTTTCAAAATTGCTGAAGTCACACCTCTAGCCGTGTTCTTGTTCTACCTATTGGAAGGGAGGGTCTGGCCATCGTTTGCTGCAACCTAACATATGAAAACAAGAAAATAAATGCTTGTTATCCACTCATATTCTTATAATAGCAAGTCAACAGAAATGCTCTTATTTTAATATGTGAGATCTTTGAATTTTATACATGAGAAATTGGTAGAACAGAGTTTAGCTCTGCATAAAATCGCAGAGAGTTAAAAATTACCTCCGTCCACATCCAGACATTTTTCTACATGTTGGTACATAGCTTCAAATCTCCTCACTAAAGTGTGACTTGAAAAGAGTATAATCCAAGCTAAACTGTGAACTGCGGATGAGATGCTCACAGTGAACTGTGGTTACAATGGCATGTGAGTACTCACATTTCCTGTAATGTAAGGCTTACACCTGACTATGATAATTCTTACAAGACACTTTTTCATTCTTATTACACTCTTCCATTAAGTATTGGCCATAAAATGAATGTGGCTATTTTATTGTAATCACATATATAAGATGAAATTGATGAACATTTAATCCACGAAACTGTGGTGGGGTTAAAATATCAAATTATTAAAAAATGCTACATCTCTTAGAAATGAGAAACAAGGTTTATAAAATAGGTTTTAATCATCAAATAATAAAAATTTGACTTAACCTGGCTATAACGGTTAATTATAGAGATGACATTTTTCAAACATGGTATAAACAGAAATTTGTTATAGCTTGAATCTGTATTAGTCTATGAGGAATAGAACAATTAATATAAACCCAGAAACAGATATTGGGGTTCAACCTGATGGTCAGTAAAGCAAAACAGCCAGTCACTGGCTCTTACCTCTTGTTCTGTTCTAGATGGAGATCCTGCTTTCAGATATCCTCAGAATGAGACTGAATGAGAGATGTCTCCTTCAGTTTTAGATTCCTCTCTAGTGCTGGGATTAAAGGCATGCACCGTGACCGCCCAGTTTCTTTTTTCTTTTTTCATGTCTACTTCTATGAGTTTTTTAAAACTGTTTTTATTGAGCTATATATTTTTCTCCACTTCCCCCTTCCTCTCCCCTACCCTTCCACCCTCTCCCATGCTCCCAATGCTCCCAATTTTCTAAGGAGATCTTGTCTTTTTTTAAACTTCCCATGTGGATTAGATCCATGTATGTCTCTTTTAGGGTCCTTTTCGTTGTGTAGGTTCTCTGGGGTTGTGAATTGTAGGCTGTTTTTTCTTTGCTTTATGTCTAAAAGCCACTTATTAGTGAGTACATATTATATTTGTCTTTCTGGGTCTGGATTACATCACTCAATATAATGTTTTATAGACCCACCCACTTGCCTACAAACCTGGAAACAACCTAAATGCACCTCAACCAAAGAACAAATAAGGAAAATGTGATACATTTACACAATGGAGTACTATACAGTGAAAAAAAATAATGACATTGCTCAGTTTCTATGGCAAACTAGTGTGTTTATGGGGGTTACAAGATATGTAACCACTGCCTGGTTGTAAGGCTGACCAGGGAAGTTGTTTTGTTTTTTGAACCTTCAGGCAAGCTTTATTTATTAAAACAAATGAAATATCACTACAGTGAGGATGTTGAGGAAGGGATTAGCAGTTGAGTATGCACAGACTAGAAAATAGAGTGTGTCCTCCATTTTTGTGGACTCTATCCAGTACATTGAAAAGAATGAAGAGAATAGAAGAAAAGTTGAAACATAGGACAACTGTGTGGTTTAAGGTTGTATAACCAAAAAAAAAAAAATCTGTCTTGACTTTAAACTCAGTTTCACAGCAGGATTTGTGTGGCTTTCTTTCTTCTCAGATCTTTGTACTTAAAATGAACTACGGTATTACATCTCTTGCTTCTGCAGCTTGAAAGTCTTGGGTTTCATCTTTTTCTTTGAACACTGCAAAGGCTTTATTTGTGCAATCTTTACATGATAGTTTTGGCAATATATCACCGAGTAAAAGACTCAGGCCTGTTGCTAAAATATAAATAAATACAAATCAGACTTACTAGTGGCTAGACAATCCTTTTGCTCCTATCTTATAACAATTTCCACAGCACTACAGTCTTCAGTGGTACTGTACCACTCTGAAAAAGATGCCCTCTGGCTCCTTTCCATCCCCCAGAGCTGCAGCAAATCCTTCCTGCTGCCTCCTCTTAGCCAAAGCTGCCAAAGATGTAAAAGTCTTTGGTTCATAGATGGCCAGGTCCACAAGTACCTTCCTGTTGAGCTCCACCTGGCACTTAATTAAATTGACCATGAATGCTGGGTACTGTAAGCCATGTTCCTGGGAGGCAGCTGAAATTCGATTAATCCAGAGGGTACTCAGGTTCTGCTTCTTCAGTCTGCGGGCCTGTGTGCCCTTCACGACGGCTCTGGTCACCGCCCTGACCACCAGCCTGTAGCGGCGGTTCTTCCTTCCCCTAAAATGCCAAGCATGCTTCAGCACCTCCTGGACCTGCCAGAACCAGTCTGTGAGGCGGTTCTGCAGCCAGAGCCGCTAAGGAACACCATTCTGGGCTCCCACAATCCGAGCAGCTGCCATTGGGTTTCATCTTTTGTAATTGAATAATTCAATTTTTGTAGTATTTCTGTATATCATCCTTGCATATTTCTCTCGCTATCCATTTATACATCTATCATCTATCTATCTATCTATCTATCTATCTATCTATCTATCATCTATCTATCCATCATCTGTCTATCTATCTATCTATCTATCTATCTATCTATCTATCTATTATCCATCATCTCTCTCCATATCTATCTGTTGATCATCTATTGTTTACTCATGTAACACCCATTGCTTCTATTTCTCTGACCAACATTGGTTAATACATTAGCAATGCAAATGTGTCATCTCTTAAACAAACAAACAAACAACAAAAAAGGACAAATCAAACTGAAACAAGTAAATCCTTACACTATTAAGAACTCTCAAGGAAGTACTGATTTTAACAGGATTAAATAAGGATCTGGAAGTTTTAACTCCTATTGATATAGTCACCTAAAAAGGTAGAAATGTGGAAAATCAACCAAACCTCCTCTATCCATGTCTCCAAGTGAACTGGAAAAACATTCATGCTGGAATGTGGACTTATCAGCAAAGTGAAAATTTGAGCAAAAGTGTTCTTACAGGAAGCAGAAACCACCATACGTACAAATTCTGACCAATTTCTGAAACTTCAAAATGAATAAGATGTGGTGAAAATATCTGGGAAAAATCCACAGTTGTAGGTTTCAGAAATATGGTTCTCAAGATCTCAAGGACGAAGGAAAAATAACCACTGGTGAACAGGCACACAACTTTGTCTGCTACAACATGTTTTCCAAGGGATTTTTCTAAAATCTCAATTTCACCCACATTAAGCTATTATTTTTATACTTTGAATTTATCAGCCCCTTCTGGTCTGCCTGAATCTTTGAATGTTGGGAGAAAAGCTCAAAAGAAAAAGAAAACAACAAAACAGAATTTATATCTGGAAGCACATTCCCATAAAATAAAGATTTTTGAGCCTAAGATTATAGAATGTTTTCTTTTTCTACAAGTTAGCATCATATCATCAGGAACTCAGTATGATAATGAAAGATTACAGTTCAAAGACCTGCAGAGTGTATACTTTCTCTGAGAAAGAACTTTTGGATGAATTCTAAATCAAGAAGGAAGAAAAATGAAAGTGAACGCAGAGATCCAAGTCTGCAAAGATGCTGAGAGTAAGTGGCCTTAAATATGACATTTATACCAAATATGTAGGGATCAAAGAATCATGACAGAAGAGGGGGAGGAAAATGTGAGATTCAAATAGAGGTGAAAGGTCTTTGAAATGACATCTTTTAAGCAACCTGTAGCCATGGGGAATGTAAACTTAAGGCAGCCGTGTTTGCGGGCACTGGGCCTACATGAAGTTGGGCAGCCTAACAATCAGCTATAGATAGGAAAGTACTGATTTGATCATGCTACATACCAATAAACTTATTGACAGTGAACATATTTGGAGGAAGGAAATGGCATAGTGTTCTCTTTTTCATCTACTGGTGATTCCATTAGGTTCCATAAATACGTTCAAACTCAGATTCACACAGATGTCCTTAGTTGAACTCAGTGGTTCACATTTACACATAATCATAAGGGACTTGTAAGGAAGAGATGAACTGGAAGTGGAGGAGAGCGATAAGAGAAAGTGTGGCTACCCCAGGCATCCCAACAACCATATAAATGGAATCCAACATACTTGTAAATGACAATGTCATATCGTGAAGTGAACAGTTTAGACAGCCCTACTAGATCCTAGATTTATAAAGAATTAATAAAATTTCAGGTGAAAAAGCTATTTTTTGCATTTCATAATATCTAATCCATAGCTGTTGACAAAACAAACAAACCTCCAAGGTATTGTAAGAGGAAAAAAAAGAATTAGTAATAACTAAGAAACAAAACAGAAATATAATAAAAGATGAAGCTGAGATTATTCATTCAAGAATCGTAACATCTATGATTAATGTGTGAGGGATACTAGATTATAAAAGTTGTCATGCACCGTCAGAACACGGTCCAAAAATAGAGTCATATTAGGAGAATTCTAAATGGTTGTTAGAAAACGCCAAGAAATCAAGAAAAGAGTCTTGTGACCTCAGTTTCTTCAAAAGCACAGAACTGGTCTTGGAATATGCTTTTGTTTCCATCCCAGGTATAGCAAATACATGTGAGTTTAGAGTTTTAATTACAACTGAATATTGTTTTTTATGAATATATCTCTGTGGAAAAAACATATTTTTACCATGTACAATTTTTCCTTGTGATGTATATTCTTGAACTCATAAGAACTTTACTTAGGTGACATTCCTTCACCCCAGGGTATAAATTGTCTGATTCTCTGAATAAAGTTGACCATTGCATAAAACTTTAGTGTACCTCATTTGTACACTCGATTCTCCCAGGTTCTGCCACCTTCAGAGTGGGGAAAGCTTGCATAATATCACTTGCTAAGCAATATGAATAGATACAATAAAACTACAAAAAAATTTAAAACACCAAATAAAATCCCCAAAATATAACAAAAGTACATAAAGAATGTGTGGAAAATACCAATCTCATGACTGGCATGGTCAAAAAAAGGATCACAAGATAGATCAAAACCAATTTCGCAAGCTGATATATAAGGAAAAAAATAATGGAAAACAATTAAATGAAAACTGGCTATCATATTAAATAATTGCTATTTGAAAGTTCAGTTAGATTTGTAAGTAACATGTGTTTGAAGGTTTTAATTAACGCCATCAGACATAGTTGCTAACAGAGAAGGAAAAGAAAGTACAATGGCATTAAATGGTCTCTTTAGAAAGGGAAAATGATTATTAAAGTAAGTTCAAATTGGAGAAAACAGTAATAAGCCTATGATTAGACTACATTCTATTCTGGTTAGAAGTAATAATATAAATGCAGCTAAAATGATATCTATGCTTGGAGTGAAATGACTTGTCAGATGGAAACAGAGATTCTGCCCATTTTATTTTATTTATTTTATTTTTTATTTTATTTTTGGTTTTTCGAGACAGGGTTTCTCTGTAGCTTTGGTGCCTGTCCTGGAACTAGCTCTTGTAGACCAGGCTGGCCTTGAACTCACAGAGATCCGCCTGCCTCTGCCTCCCGAGTGCTGGGATTAAAGGCGTGCACCACCACCGCACGGCCTGCCCATTTTATAGAGTTTGTTAGAATGAAAGCAAAGGGAATAGAGAAAGATGTACTATTTCACCATGATTAAAATAAGTCAGAAGTAGCTTATTAACTTTTGATGGAAAAAAACTTCAGACTAAGGAAAGTTACCAGCCTCAAAGAGATGACAAGGAGTAAGTTATTGAAGAAACTGAGTTTATCCTTAAAATCATAGCCTCAGTAACATTAGCATAGCCTGTAAGGCCAGAACTGATAGAATGCTACAGAAAAGTAATTAATCCACTATGACAAAGTATGTTTTACATTCTGGAGTGTGGGATTTATACATACATTTTTTTAATTAATCTTAAGAAACAAAAGTTTTATTATACTTGAACTTTCTGAAATAGTGCATAGAATTAGTTGCATGTGTTAAATCTTAAGAGCTGTGAATAGCAGAAAAGAATAAAATATATGTAGCTTACAAGCAGTAGGAATGATATGAAAACATAACAAAGCCAGAAAACTTGATACAGCAATCAAACAAAAACTCTTTCAAGAAATAGAATTATAAAATATTAAAAATAGAACACAAGTAAAGTTACATGAATAGCACGAAGGCATTCATTAATCAAAAATATTGAGTTAAATACCATTCATAAAATGCAGATAGTCTACGCATGTCTTAAAAATTCAGAAACCAAAACATTGCTATGTAAAAACCATACTTAAAGTTTAAATACATCCATCAAATTGAATGCAAAGCATAGAAAAATGTATTACAGCATACAGCATATTTTAATCAAAAGAATGCAATTGAAGGAGCGCTATTCTCTGAAAAAAATGTTATTTAAAGCAAATGCTATGAAGAAAAGAAACATTCCCTATTGATAAAAATAATAGTATGTCAAGGTGCAGTGACATTCATGAACCTTTTTGTAGGAACACAGTTGCAGTATAAGGTAAAAATTATGAAAATCAAGGAGAAATCAACAAATCACAGTATCAAGTGCTTTGCAAGATGTATTAAAAACTAGAAAAATGAACTTTGTGCGTAAGTTAGTGATAGACTGATTACCTCACCTGCATAAAATCATGGGCTCAATTTCTATAACAAACAAACTAAGTAGGAATAACAAAAGATGGCAGAGAATTAGATACACAAAAGTTCAAAAAATTTATATATACACATACATTGTACCAGCTTCTATGTATGCATATGCATTGTTTTCTGTACACACACACACACACACACACACACACACATATATATATATATATATATATATATATATATATATACAGTAAAGTTAACACTTTTCTTCAACCAAATATTCATGGTGAATTAGTGTGGAATTCAGTTCTGGTTGCTCTTTCAGCAAATCCAAGCTCTACCTACCATTTCTTGCTTTCTAGCTAAATAGAAATAGGGTTATTCAGTTCAAAGGTGCAAGCAAAATGAATTTGAGAAGCTGGATTATTGGAGTCCATTGTAGAAAGCATTGTGGGTGAAGAAGGAAGAGAAACCTCAGCCAGTTGTGTGAAGACATGGTAGAATTGGTGTAGCTGCTGTTTAAAATTGAAGGCAATGCATGTTTTCACGCTAATGAACTAAAGCTAATTGAGGTGAAAGTCAAAAGCCAGGAAAGAAACTATCTATAATGAAACCCACCACATTTTACAGTGAATCCCAATGTCATCCACTTTTGTTTGTTTGTTTGTTTTTTGTTTTTTGAGACAGGATTTCTCTGTGGCTATGGAGCCTGTCCTGGAACTAGCTCTTGTAGACCAGGCTGGTCTCGAACTCACAGAGATCTGCCTGCCTCTGCCTCCTGAGTGCTGGGATTAAAGGCGTGTGCCACCACAGCCCGGCTATCCATCCACTTCTTAGGCAAAACAGTGATATCCCAGGATCCTTGGAGTTGTGTGTGATTCCCTTCTGTATGCCGTGAATACCCCTGGTTAATAAAGAAACTGTTTTGGTCTGTTGAACAGGAAGGGCTAAATTTGAATGGGGAATAGAAAGGCAGGGGAGAACAAAAATATATGCATGGATAAATAACTATTAGAAACCTTAGAAATAATCACGATGAAACCTAGCCACTATTGTAGAAGTATATACTGTATATATGTATGTGTTTAAATGTGTGTATGTATATACATATATAAAAGTAGTTAAATGTAGTTACCATGCAACAGGACAACAATGTGAATACTTGGTAATGCATTGTTATAAGAAATGAAAGGCACAGCGATAGGAATGAGTTTCCTCTTTTGGAGTTGTGAGCCGGTGAGGTGTCATATACCAGGAAACATTTGAAGCTATTGACTGTGATGTTGACTATCTGAAATGTTAGCTGCTGAGGTTGGCAACTGGTATCTTCCCTGAATTACTTTTGTGGGAGATGAGGACACATGCAAGGGGGTAGAAGGAGTAAAGAAGAGAGGAGGAATGATGATAAGGAAGGAGGAGGAGTGGTAGGACGTGGTAGGGGAGGAGGTCAGTGAAACTGATAGTGAAATTATCTACAACAGTTCACCCTGATTAAGCTCTGATTTTTGAAATCTCAGGTATTGAACTCTACAGAAGCAGGCTAACAAAGCTGGCATGAGTCTACTCAACGAAGTAGAGTAGATGGGACTGACTTATGTTTAGCTTTATATTGCCTGTTTATCTTTAATGTACCCCCACACCTTTTCTGGTGACAAGAAAGATTGTAACCTTGTAGTTTGAAATACAATAAAGTTTAAGGAAAAGAATAACCTTTCCATTTGACCAGTAGGTGTTAAAATTATCCCAGAGTTATAGTTAGACTTCTCTTGAAGTCTTTCAGAGATGGACAATGAAGTAGAAAGTGTAAGGAAAAAAATAGAAAGGTTGCATCCTTTAAAAGGGAATTCAAGTTGAAAGTAAATTGAGATACAAACAGTTGACTGTAGAGTCATTGCCATTGCTGCCACCTGAGAGACTCTAGATGACGTCTCCACCCAGAGAAGGGCATTTTGATCATTCAAATGAGAGGAATGAGTGTGACAATAAAGGTGAAGATGCCCCAGAAGATATTAGAAGCTTTCCTGGAGATATTTTGGATTATACGTACAATTAATACATGTTAATACAAATTTAAAAGCCAGCATTGCAAAAATGTGTAAATGAAAAAGTGTAGTCATTGATTGAGATGTAGCGAAAAGCATAAATATTCACCTAAGCCTAAAAGCACACTCATTCTGATAAATGAAACTCTGCTTGGTATGTGTTTTATAAAGATAGAAAACATGCGAATTCTCAATATAATTCTAAATTGCACTGAGTAAAGTATCATTTACTATTTATTTCTCCATGCATTTGAAGAAACTTTTAAGATAAACTTTTAAATTATCCTGGATACCTTGCTCAGCCTAGATATATTAGGCAGGTCCTTGGAACTTCCCAAAGCAATGTGCCTTACCCTCTCTGAGGACTAAATGGGGGTGGGATGAATGGAGGGAATGAGAAGTGGGAAGGAAGTGAGAACTGGGATTGCTTTGTAAAATGTAAAATAGATAGCTTGTTTTCTTTTTTAATTTTTATTTTAGAAAAGTAAAAAAAAAGAACATAGTTAAGTATTAGAAGAAGAGGACATTAAAGATCATGGAACAATTAGTTTTTTCCACTAAATTGTTGAGATATTGCTGTGTTTCTTCAGTTTGTAGGTGCCTTCATATGGCCACACACCACTGTGCAAGCTACATTATGTATAATAAAGTCATTTGAGTTCTTAGTGAAGTAAAGATGATTTTATTTCATACTCTTGGAGGGTAAATATGTCAGAAAATCTGGATCGACTGCATTTAACTCACAGGAACTTGGTGTGGGAAGTTCTTTTGTATATGTGTTGCTTTTGTTGGTTAATGAGTAAAGAAACTTCTTTGGCC